GGCGCACATGCTTCTAAAATGGCATATAACTTAAACTAACTAAATCACATTATTAGTGAGTGTATTTCTATTTCGAGTGAAAGTGTTTGGTGTAAAGATTTGACGGTTGATCCTACCAGAACTAACCAAATCACTTTATGCCTCATCAAAGAGCTCAGATATAGACTATGTCTATGCATGTATGTCACTTTGGGGGTGAGCCGGTGAGTTTTATAGACTCGTTAACTTAAATCTGTTTGTAAGAATGATACCATGCTCTGATGATGTTTGTCATATGACGGACGAAGGATTAGCAGAATTGAAGAAGATAACCTTGAAAATAATGTCAACAAGAATGTTCCAGTAATTGAAACTGGCCTACCTTTCATTTAGTTTGAGAAGGCGGCTGCTACTGATTCGTAGATTGGCCCCATTGGATACCGAAAGAGGGTTGCTTTGGAATTGTGTCTGCTGAATTGTGCAATGCAGATCTCGGCTCGCCGTCCTACATCCCCGATGACTCCGTACCAAGCTTTCATCTGTTCCGTCGCGACGGACATTGTCAGTACCAGAAAGCATTATTGACGAACGATCACCAAAAAAGGCTAAATCAAGAAAGGTGGCCAGTTGTGATCCTACCTACTTCCTGTACCTCACTTTGCGATCTTCATGAGGCATTGTATGATTTGGTTGTATTTTTTATGCTTCCCCTGGATGCATTTAAGCAAGTCAAAGTGATGCAAGTGATTCTGACGCCAATCTACGAATCACTTCCACCAACCTTCTCAAAATAAATGCAAAGTATGTCAGCATCAATCTACTAAGAGGGTCTTGGAAACCCAGCTTCTCTCCGGTAAAGCCAACCGACAACTTGCCAAATCCGGAATCTACTGTCGTCGTTTGTTGTACTCGGCCGTCTTATTTCTTCATTACACACCTACACTCGACATGTTGAGCTTACTTCCATTTTGAGTGAAAGTGTTGCGTGAAGAGATTCAAAGGTCGGTTCCTCTTCAGCAAAGCATCAGAGGCCTTGTAGTCATGACGATTAAAATGATTGGATGGTTATTTCGGTCATAGTCTCCTTTAGCTGCATAAACTTGGTCTGTTCTCGCTCTCGCAACATGGACGCGTTGTCAAGGCTACCTGGAAAGAATGCGCTATGGAAAAATGCTTAGTAGTTAACTTATCGAGATTACACGCTGTAGTGTCATGGTTCGAGTCCCGCTGGGGGTGTTGACAAAACCTAGACGAGGTCGAAACTGCAGTCCACTTCCAGAAAGCAAGGCTATGTGAAATTTTACCGAAGCGTCAGTCCTACTCATATGAGTTTTTCATCACCAAACTGGTGATGACTAACGACTCGTTAGCTTCAAGTTGGTTGTGACGATGATACCCTCCTCGCTCTGTTGATGTTTGTTATATGACGGACAAAAGCCTAGCACCTTTTTACCGGAATAGAAGAAGATTGCCTCGGAAACAGCGTCAGCATGAATCTTTCAGTAAAGCCAATCGACAGCTGGTCAAGAGGAATCCAACGTCATCTTCTGGTGGAACCGACTTTCGAATCTGTTCATGCAACAATTTCACTCGAAATGAAAGTAAGCTCAACAATTATAAAACAAGAGATTCCTCGAAACCCAACTTTTCTTCGCATTTATATTGTCAATGTGTCTGTAAAGAAGTGGTGAGTTTACTTCTATGTCGAATGTAGGTGTGTCATGAAGAAATAAGACGGCCGAGTACAACAGACGACGACAGTCGATTCCGGTTTTGACAAGTTGTCGGTTGGCTTAACCGAAGAGAAACTGGGTTTCCAAGAGACCCTTAGTAGATTGATGCTGACATACTTTTCATTTAAAACGAGAAGGTTGGTGGAAGTGATTCGTAGATTGGCGTCAGAATCACTTGCATCCAGTCCAGTCGGGATGGGAATGCATCTTCGGAAGCTTGGCTGCGTGAACTTGAATGCTAACCTAATTTATTTTTCGAATTACGTATTGTTTTCGTGACTACCAGTAAATCAGTAGTATGAGATGTATTCACATAATTTCATTTAAGCTGATGAAGGACTGGTAGAAGAAGAATTTTCCCACAATCATATGAGTTGAGCTGACGTTTCCATTCAATTTCATAGCCTTGCTTTTCCAAAAGTTGTTCTCATCCCGACTAAAGTGGACTGCAGTTTCGACCTCGCATCGGTCTTATCAACACCCTCAGCGGGGGTCGAACCGTGACAGTGTGGCACGTGAGCTTGACACGTTAGCCGATTGGTCACATTGCCAAGAGTGCCATAGAGTCACAAGGCTGATGTGAATTTTAAGGAAGGTCAGGCATTTTCCCATATCACATTCTTTTGGTGGGATTGTCTATGAAGCTTACGTATATTTGCTATAACAATCGACTACGTTGCTTTCGTCTTCGTGTTTGAGTAGAGTTTCTAGACTACCAGTAAATCAGTAGCATGAGATGTAACAAGAGTAACAAGAGATTCATCGAAACCCAACTTTTCTTCGCATACACTACATCTCATATCACTGATTTATTGTTAGTCTCGAAACTGCACTTGACAACGAAGAATTGTGCGGCCTATTTGTGTGATTTTGAGTAAAAATGTCGCCTATAACAACCAAGTTTCCACGCCTCCCAGCAGACTAGCGACTTTCGGTGTTTTTGTCCTCTTCCCCACTGCTACGACAGATTCGCGACCCCGTTTTGATCCGTGCCCTCGAGCAGCAGATCGCCAGCTTCGGACAAACCCCGAGCCAACTGTTGACGACACCGCATCCGGCGCGTCTGTCCACTCTGCATGTGACACCCACGATCCACAGACCGTTGACCAGCGAAGTGTGCCAACGCCTCAAACTGCCCTCCAACTCGCCTCTCCTCGTCACCACCTGCAACACGCATCCGGCCGCCTACCTGCCTGCGGTGGTTACAATCTCTGCCAATCTGGTCTTCTCGGTCAACCGATGGAACAACCATGCAGCAGGTTTGTTGCCGGGTCTATCCGGTTTTCTGCTCTAATCTCTCTCTCTCCCAACCTTCCGCCTGTATGTGCCTTTCTGTCTGCTGGCGTGCACGCAGACAAACGTCTGCCGGAGTCCGTCGAATAGTGCCACTCGAGTTTGCGTTTAGAAGAGGAGGCTGGTTGAAAGAAAAGCGAAGAGAGTGGAGTGAAGAATGTTGGATTTTGTCGAAAATGCCTCGTTTCACTATTCTGCGACTCCGATCAACCCATGCGGAGTCTTCGTCTGTTCAGATTTCGTCAGAGCGAGGAAGCATACTTTACACAAATCTGCAACAATCTACAAAACCGAGCGAAACCTTTTCTCTTGGTTGATATGACCTCTCGCTCGAACGATGTCAGCACGAATTCATCCGAGTCACGATGCGAGCTCAACTGGAAATTTGACTTTGCTATCGCAAACCGTGAATGTGCTGATTTGATGGCTCATTATTTAATCATATTTAGCATATTTCGTCTCTAAGTCAATCTGTCTGATATTGTTTTAATAAATTTTCTTCAATAAATTGTAATCTCGCAAAGTTATTCTTTGGTAACCATTTTTTCTTTATATATATTTATATTTAGTGTTAGGGTTTAATTTTGGGTTAAGGTTAGTGTTGAGGTTATGTTTTGGATTTGATTTCCACTAAGTTGATCTTTGAGCCTGAGTTAGAGTTACATTTAGGCTTGTGGCCAGGTTTGGGTCTAGGTTTAGTTTGAGTCAGTGTTGGTTGTTAAAATTATGGTTATAGTGAAAGTTGATGTTAACGTTAATATTTAGGTTTGTGTTTGATTTAAGCTCAAAGTTAGATTTGAGGTTAGGGTTTTTGGTTAGAGTTTAACTTAAGATTATGACATGGTTTGGGATTTGGGTTATTTGTTAAATTTAGGGTTAGGCTTAGGATGTGGTTTAT